CAGTGGCATCAGAATAAATGTCGAATATGATCGCGAAAATATTCTGGAGGACGTTTTAAAGCCTTGGGCATGCAAACATTTTGGCCGCAGACCTTGGACATTCCAACAGGACTCAGCACTATCGCACTCAGCACACGCCATCCAAGAATGGTTACAAAATGAGGTTCCTCGCTTCATGGCCACCAAAATCTCCGGATACCAATCCGTTAGACTATTGTGTCTGGAGTATTTTGGAAAGCAAGGTTGGCACTAAAAAATACTAAAGTGTCGATCACCTCAAGCAAGGGCTTTGCCGGGAATGGGCCAAAATACCGCAGAGCAACATTTGGGCAGCGTGTGACGGTTTCATTGGCCGTTTGAAGGGCACAATTCCTGCCAAAGGTGTCCAATTCGAACAAATCCTAACTTATTCTGAAATTTGATGTTATTTCCGCCCTTTTTTTCAATAAAATTAAAAAAAAATCGATGAATAATGTAGCTAAATTTATCAAAATTACCGAATATATGGAGGCACTGTTATATAGGGGCTATACGAAAACGTGGACCTGCACAGACAATTTTCTGTCATAGGCTGTAGTATCCATTACGAACTTCAAATCCCAAATTCGAAACAATTCCGGTGAATAATATCGCTAAAATCATCAAAATGCCGAATATTGGGGTACCGTTATATGGGGGCTATACGATATCGTGGACCGATATAGATAATTGTCTCCCAGGTCATAAAGTACTCACAAAAAAACTCCTTGTGTGGACAATGCCACTGAAAATGTGGCTAAAATCATCAAAGTACCGAAAATCGGGTGACCTGCAGACAAAAGACCGATCTGTGCAAAATTTTAGCTTCCTATCTTAATTCGTTTTGACTGTAGCGTGATTACAACAGATGGTCAGATGAACGGACAGGGCTAAATCGTCTTAGAATTTTACGCTGATCAAGAATATATATACTTTGTTGTATCTAAAATTATTGTTTCGATGAGCTACAAACAGAATGACGAACTAATATGTATATATGGTGGAGGGTATAACAATAATTAACATATTTCAATTGAATATTATTTTGAACAATTTTTTTTGAAAATAATTTCCACACTCAATATAATATACCAAAAAAAAATATCATTGCTCCTAAACAAATTCTCTCCAGTGTACATTGAACATGTATGGTTTACCTGTATCCAATATCAAACATTGTAACACACACATACAAACATATTTTGTTTATTAATTCATATGTGTGTCACTATGCTTGAGTGGTTTTCTTGACCCAATCTTTCTCATCTCGCTCTCTCTCTGCCCCTTTCTTCTATATGTTTGTGGGCACATACATATTATTTAAATAAATTCATTGAACTTTTCAAGACATGTGAAATATGCTAATTAGAATAACGGCAGAGTGGAAACGTACACACACATCCACACGTCTGGTAGACAAAAATAAACAACACAAAAGAACGAAAGACTGAAGAAAGTTTTAAGAAAGGAAAAGCAAACAAAAAAAAAACGTATGCACATAGAATACCAAATGTTCTAGGTATGGTTGGGGTGCCTTTTTTGAAATGAGAATTTTTGGAATGAGTTTTGATTTTTGTAGGTGGATAATTGTCATTATAGACCCAAAAAACGCATATTAAAAACAATATCTGATTTTAGCAAAGTTCTAGATAATATCGTCAATGGTTTGGGGTTTTTGCAAAGTCATAGTAAATACTAAAAGTATACGTAAAGTACTAACATGAAGCTAAAAATTGAATATTTTGTATTGAAGAAACGGAATGAGCTAAAAATTTGGAATAAGAGTCACTGATGGATTGCAGAATAGATGGATATACGAAATTTAAAGTTCTAAAATGCTTGAATACTCGAAATTCGGTACAAGAATTAAGATTGGAATTGATATATGGAAGTTTTTTTTTTGGAAATGTGTACTATAATTGTACAAAATCTAATATATAGTACTAAATTTATAAATTTATGTATGTATTGGGTGGAAGGATAGAGATGAAGTCCTTAAATTTGTTATAGATGGTGGCTTCGGAAATGCGTATAATAAAGATGTGGTTCTGGAAATATGTACTACAAGTGCTGAGGTCTCTGTTGGTATCAGATAATGAGATCTGGAGTAGTTTTGCAAATGCATAGAAACTCTTTTTCAACACCTTTATACCAATATTGCAATAAGGATATGTGGCGAATCAGCCCCTCTTTCAAACCTAACCCAAAAATTTCGTAGGGGACCCCAAACCTTTTTTAAATATTTTTTTTTACAAAAAGCACGCGACTTTTAAAAAGTTAAAAATCGTATTTTATTGAAGTTTCATAAAATCAACGGATTTTGTAGAGTGTTTAAAAAAACACAGCTTTCGCAAGAAGATTTGAGGTAGCCTTATAAATTTCCTGATTAGAAAAATATTTAAAAACACGTAAACAAATGCTATAGTCGTACGGGCCGACCATGTGATACCCTACAACACTTCAAAATGATAGAAGTCCCCTTATGTCCAAATCTACTTTGGAAGATTTCGCTTTTGAAATTATGTGATAGAGCACTGCCCAGATATTACCCTTGGCTTTTTGATAAAGGACATTTGCCTAATATTTACGCACTCCGTCGTGTTGTTAGTTGTGGTGGTCCATTTTACAGCTAAAAATAATCCAATGGACATCCAAAATGCTAAACTTCTTCTCTGTCCTTAACTCTCTTCTCATGCTAAATTCCGTGTCGACTGGTTTCAATTGTGTGATCAGGAAAATTATTTTGTTTTTAGTTCATTTGAAGCCTAAATATTGTGCAATCTTCTCCAAATCCAAGAACCCCTCTGTATCTCCAAATGTAGACTTATCTTATGTTTTACTTGTCTACGATATTTGGTTGTATTCGTCAACGAAATCTGCGGGAAAAAGCCAGAAGTTCGCCTTCTGTGTATTTTTGGGTTTCGTCTGTAAGTTCTTTTCAGCATTTCGGTAGACTGGAAATTTTGGTATTTTTTTCACACAAAAGTAGTGGTCCATTCTATACGCTGTCCTAAACTCTAACTTCATGCGAGATTTCGTGTCCTTTGGTTTCTATTTGTAACCTTTATAATGACTGCAAAATCAAGAACATTTTTATTTGTTGGTCCATTTCTACCCCGACTGCAAAATCAAGAACATTTTTATTTGTTGGTCCATTTCTACCCCTAAATATATTGCGGACAGCTTTAAAAATAATAGGCCCCTTCTGAGCATAACCCTACCCTTATGAAAATTTTTGTGAGGATCGAACGATAATTGCAATCTGTGCATAATAACCCCAACCTGTGTTGTAAGGTAAAAAATATTACAAAATGTAGACTTCAATATTATAAGTCAAATTAGAAAAATCGAATGCGATAAAAAATATGAAAAAATATCACAAAATATTACAAAATCTATATTAACATCATTATTGGCATCGTTTTATGCCTTTTTTTGATTTTATTCCATTATGCTAAGAGGGTATTCTGAATTCACAAAATTTGTGAAAATCGGTCTAGCCATTCCTGAGATATAAGCATTCTATCTAACATCCCCTTCCTTTGTATATTATTCGCGGATTAATCGAAAATTTGACTTTTAGTTAATACAAATGTTGTGGTCTATTTCACCCACTAAATACTATCCGATCACCACCCAAATTGGACGGCTTCTGCCCAGCCCTAAGCTCTAGCACCATGGAACTTCCGCGACGATTGGTTCGTAATTGTGGCCTATGGAACAATTTAAAAATTTTTCAGTTTTTGGTCCATTTCAACTAAATATTTAGAGATGATCTCCAGAAATAGGCTTCTATTCCGACCTTAACATCACCTCCGTTTTCAATTTCATGAGGATCGGCCCACAATTGCGACCTGTAGCGTGATTATAAATTACTATGGACAGGTGGGCGGACATATATAGCTACATCGACGCAGCTCGAAGTTTCATATATACTCTCCTATGTGGGAAATCAATATGTCGAGGTTTTATATAAGTTTTATATAGGGTTGTAGGGTATAAAAAGTTATATTATATAGTGTTCGATATATAACAAAATTGGCTGCAATGTGATATGTATTGAATTTAGGACAGATACCAGATATTTCCACTTCTTTTGGTACCTGACCCACAAGAGTGGAAAATGTTGAATTATAGTCCAAGTTAAGCCCAGCATATTCAAGACAACATAATGTTTTGTATGGTGTAAATCTGGGGCATCGCAGAGATTAAATGTATTAATTTGCTGTCTTCTGAAATCCAGAAATCTTTATTGTAGGAATAGAAAAAGAAAATTGCTTATTAAAAGATCTCTATTTAGGTCGATTTTTTTCCGAAAAAAGGGTATATGAACGCTAGGCTAAGGAATCATCTCGAATTTTATAAAAACGTCTTTATTTTGTAATTTAATATTGCAATTGAAGAGGATTTAAAATTACGAAACCTTCTTATATAAATTGAAAACAAATACTCATTTCCAATACTAGTGTTTTTCCACTCTCCTGCTGCACGATTTCCTATATGGAATTTTTAATGAGCCTTTAAAATAATTCCAAACTGACACATGTCAAAATATGCCAAAATTCGCAAAAAACACATATACCGCCAACGATAATTTTGTGAAAAACAGGCCTGTGACAAAGTAATGCTCATTTCTTAAAAGACACGTTTCATGTGACAAGCCACACTAAGAATTTTAATTGTTACCATTTTGACGAGAAAATGACAAAAAAAAAAACAAACAAACGAAAAATCCATGCAAGAGGCAATTATGTGAGTGCATTGGCGTGGAAAAGGCTGTGTGTGTAAAAGGGTGGGTGGGGGTCCAAAAGGATAATTTGATTGTCTTGCCTTCGATTTAGAAAAAGGGAAAGTATGCGAGCTTCTTAAAATGAAATCAATATTTCCAGGATATTCCCATAAAAATTAGGATGGCTACGCCATTGCTGGCTTTGTCGGATTTTTTCCATAACAACCTTACATGCATTGGGGGAATTACTTACCTTAAAATCATTTTGTTAAAATAAAATCTGGTACAAGTGGCAATGGCTGTTTATTTTTCAGTTAATGACTTGGATTAAATGTTTGCTGCTACTGTCGCTGTTGTTGTTACAGTTTCCGTTGACGTTTTCGACTGATCCGAAAAGGAAATAAACACCAAAGGAAATATTTAATCCAATTATGGCAACAATAGTTAGAGTCTAAGACTTTGTTTTGGGTATATATATTTTTGCTGTTACTAATTAACACTCAGAATAGCCGGTGTTTGGTTCAAGAGGTGGGTTGGAAAACGCGCGCGAAAGAAAATATGTACTCACAACGAAATGGCCTTAATTACGCAAAGCAACATTAATGATATGGAGTTGTAGTAGTTTTGTTTGCTTTTGTTTTTATTTCATTATTCGCCCAAGACTGGGAAAATGCACTTTCAAGTTTGTGTCTTAAGTCTTTTGTTTACATCAGTCACACAAGTCGGCTGTGTCCGGTTAACAACAAAGAACCACTGACACATAGAACACCAACTCGGAACAACACAAGAATTTTTTTTTTGTTATTCTACACACAATGACGTTTGCGACGTCTGATGTGAGGTGGTTTAATTAATTTTCGTTTTTTTTTTTGGTATTGTAAGCACTTGACTTGCTTCGTTTCCTTTCTTTAAGAATTTTCAACAACTCCACTTGAGTTGTTTTGCTATATTCTTCCGTTAAACTTTCCCTTTATGGTTTTTTCGATTATTCTTTTTATTTTCATTCACTCAGATTTTTATTCGTTTTAAAATTCATTCTTTTTTATAATTTGGTCGTTCATTCACTTTGCCATATTTGTCATTATTTTGTTAAGGTCGTTTCATTTCAAGTGAAAGAAAAATTCATTTACATGAACATGACTTCTTTTGCTTTTGTATTCCACACAAGGTGCTCTCGATACCGTTAGCCGCGCTTTACAACCTTTACGTTGTATGTCCCACAATTAACTGATTACTTTGGCCAATTGCTGCTGAAGAAAATCCAAAAAACCGATATGGAATACACATTGGACAACGAACCAACGAACAAATCTGGTGAACATACACACACAAACACACACACACACACACACCGATACACAAACACCTTTGGAGTTGGCGTTACGTTTGCAGTGTCTGTGCGAGCGCGCATTCACTTGTGCAGACACACAGCGGGGTTGAGAAAACGTGTTCGTTGTTACAAACGACTAGTTGGTTGGCTGTTTTGGTTGCTTGTCTGACTGCGCAACGGCGCAGCCCAGTTAGCATGGGACTTGAGCATTAACTCCAACCGAAAAAAATCTGTTAACAGCGCCTCCAGTTTGTTGCCATTGTCGCCTTAAGCGTTAGCGTTAACGCTTTCGTGTGCCCGGGCGACGCGGCTTTAACTTTTATTTTCTTTGAGTGCAAAGTTATGGCTGATAAGATGCTGTGTTGTTTATGCGTTTAAGTAGTCGGCGTATGCGACTACGTAAATAATACTCAGTTAAGTTGAGTGGAAATGAAAATTATTGAGTTTTATCATCTTTAAATAATACTTGAATTATTTTCATAATAAACAATATTAGAAAAAAAAGAAAAAGATTTAAGTAAAAAACTTGTGTTTATGGACTAATACCAAAGACATACAAGGTGAGATAAAAAAAATGCAATAAAGTCAAATGCCATAATTTTTACATATTATTTTCATTTTCAATTAATGAAAGCAAACCAATAAAGAAAGTCTTAAAGTTGGGTGGGGCCAACTTTATGATACCCTACACCACTTTGATAATTTAGTAGAGCTGCGCATAACAATTAAAAGTTTTAATGGGAGAATTCAATCATAAACGCTATGATTATAATTATAATTTAAAGTTCAAAGGACTAAATATGCCGAAGCATTTGTATCTTTTAAATTCGGACTTGTATTACCCATGAGATATTGATTTGAAATCGGATAAAAATATGTATGGGAGCTATGTCCCAATCGGAACCGATCTCGATAAAATTTGGCAAAGATATTTCTGAGCTGCATTTGATATATTTCCCTGAATATCGTTTTTACGGAGTGCATATTACGGCTGTGGGTAACGAATATAACAATTCGGATGAACAGTATATATGGGAGCTATAGTTATATCTAAACCAATCTTCACCAAATTTGACATACTAGCTTCTAGGCTCAATTCAGTCGTAAGTGCCAAATTTCATCCAATTTGGACAAATATTAGACGATTGGTGCACAATCAAAGGTAAATCGGACGAAGTTATATATGGGAGCTGTATCCAAATCTAAACCGATCTCGATAAAACTTATCAAATGTATTTCTGAGCTGTATTTGATATATTTCCCCACACATTGTTGTTACAGAGTGCATATTACGGCTGCGGAGGACAAAAATAACAAATCGGATGAACAATATATATGGTAGCTATAGCTATATCTGAACCGATTTCGATCAAATTTGGCATACTTATTTTCAGGTCCAAGCTGACCGTACGTGCAAAATTCCATACTATTCGGATTGAAATTACACGTTTGTTGCACAATAAAAGGCAAATCGGACGAAGATATATATGGGAGCTATATCTAAATTTTGATCGATTATCTCCAATTTCAATAGGGTTCGTCCTTGGGCCAAACAAATGATTTGTGCAAAATTTCATCTGGATAGGACAATAAATGCGAACTGTACTTTGTTTACAAAAATACATGGACAGACGGACGGACGGACGGACATGCATATATCGACTCAGAATGTGATTCTATGCAGATCATCAAAAGGAACTATGGGTCTGTCTCGTTTCCTTTTACCTGTTACAAACAAATGCACAAAGACATAATACCCTGACCACCTTGTGGTGCAGGGTATAAAAATGTCGGAAATAGCATCAAATTTTAAAATAAATTAAGATTTGTTCGAATTGGCCACCTATGGCACAAATTATGGATTTCAAACGGCCAATGAAACCATTACACGCTGCCCGAATGTTGCTCTGCGTTATTTTGGCCCATTCCCAGCGAAGCGCTTGCTTGAGGTGATCGACACTTTAGTATTGTTTAGTGCCGACCTTGCTTTCCAAAATACTCCAGACACAATAGTCCAACGGATTGTTATCCGGAGATTTTGGTGGCCATTGTGCGCTGGAAATGAAGCGAGGAAACTCATTTTGTAACCATTCTTGGGTGACGCGTGCTGAGTCCTCTTGGAATGTCCAAGGTCTGCAGCCAAATTCGTATAGGCCCCATATATCAGTACCTCCCTATATTCGGTATTTTGACGATTTTAGGTACAATACCCACCGAAATTGTTTGAGATGTGGTAGTTGAAGTTCGTAATGGATGCTACAGCCTGTGTCTGTGTAGTGAGAAAATTGTCTATGCAAGTCCAGGTCTTCGCACAGTTCCGATATAACGGTACGTCATTTTGATGATTTTAGCTACATTATTCACCGGAATTGTTTCCAATTTGGTATTTGAAGTTCGTGATGGATACTATAGCCTGAAATGAAAAATTGTATGTGCAGGTCCACGTCTTCGTATAGCCCCCATATATCAGTTCCTCCCTATATTCGGTATTTTGACGATTTTAGGTACAATACTCACCGAAATTGTTTTAGATGTCGTATTTGAAGTTGGTAATGAAAGCTTCAGCATGAGACAAAAAATTGTCTATGCAGTTCCAGGTCTTCGCATAGCTCCGATATAACGGTACCTCCCTATGTACGGTATTTTCATGATTTTAGCTACATTATTCACCGTTTATTTCAAGTTTCGAATTTGAATATGGTAATGGCTTATGGCAAACAATGCCTATGTAGGTCCACGTCGTAAAGACCCCAATATAACGGCTATATTTGGTATTTTTAAAATTTTAACAGAATGTTTTAAGTATTTTATTTTTTTTTTTTTTTTTGAAAATTGCCCCGGCCAAATTTACTGCTTTTTAACTTGTTAACACTGGGTTTGCTGTAATATGGAATATATTGGTCCACTCTTTCTGGTACATCTCCCATAAAGGGTCAAAATTATGAATATCCATGAAGCTCATAAAATTCCATTCCGATTCCATTCAGACTTGGCACATCTCAATATTTACACAAGATCTGTTATAAAGATGGTAGAGATCGGCCCATTCCTTCTGATCTCCCCCACTTAGAGTTCAAGATTTTTGAAAATCAAAACGCTCAAATAATGCTAAATAAGAACCCAAATATATTCAAATTTCATGCGTCCGAATTTTGCTAACGCGAGATCTGTTGTGTAGATAAAGATATATCTGCATACGGCCAAAGACTGACAAACAGACGGACGGACATACATAGCTAGATCGACTTAGCTAGATGAGATAGGAAGATCCATATGTAGTTTCCTATGTGTAGGACCAATATTCCTAGGTGTTAAATATTTTTGTTCCAATCAAACTTATAATATCCCCAACTCAAAGGGTTTCAGGGTATAAAAACAAGAAATTTATTAGAAACATTTTATTTCAATAAATTGTTATGTCCAATACAACAATGATGTAGAACCCATTACACATGTATAATAATTTAAAAGCACTTAACATGTCTAAAAAAATTAATGTATCTATTTTGCATTGCTTCAAAATACCTTTATTTTCTTTGTTATTCTCTCTAACTCATTGCACCTCATAATAGTTGTGGTTTTATTCGAAATAATGTTCAAATTGTAATCAATCTCATATTCGATTTCAATTGCAATTGTAATTCCCAAGATACTTAATACCTTTGCAATGGTTGTTTTGTAAGACTCCGGCGGAAATTAGACTGTCAGTTAACCAAATAAACTGGCAGACTGGCAAGAGGAAATATAAAATCGGTAATGCAATCTAAATGTTGTTCAATGATGAATATAGGGAACTGGATTGGGATAAATGGATTTGGGTTAATTGGGGAATGAGAGAAGATTGTTAATGAGAAGATGATTGATTTGTAGAGAACGTAAAGAGAATCTGTCATTTATAGTAAGGGCTACATCTAAAGAAAACCTATATCCAATGAAGATCGTATATAGGCATTTTTTACATAGATGTCTCTCAGAAGACTTTTTTTTCTTACCAAAACCCCTAAATTGTCTTCAATCTATAAAATACCGTATGAATATATTTTATCTATGTAGTACACCTATTGAAGTCTCTTTAAATACATTATATCTAAGAAAAGCCTTTAAAAGATTTCTGTTGAGTTTTTTTTTTATTTTTTTTATTTTTTTTTTTGTGGGAAGGAGCTAATAATTTGAACTTAAAGAGGAAACTGGAGACTTTCCCGCATTCTCACTATAGAAACCTCTAGCAGTATTATATTTATAACAAGGAAAAAAGTAGTAAATTCGACCGCGTCGAACTTTGAATACCCTCAACAATTTGGCAATTAAAAAAAAAAAAACAAGTAAAAAAGTATCGGTCGGTTTTGCCGACAGCTGTACACCCTCAGCCAGTGTTCGATAATTAAAAAAATTGTTGACTTTTGATATGATTATTAAAACTCTCGACCCTCTATAAAGTGAGTTTTGAAAGAATGGGTACATATTGTCCATTTTGTTTCGGATCTTAATTAATATAATATAACAATTGCGACGCACCAGGTTTGAACTATGTTGGTAACTTCCTTCACTTTACATGAGATAGGTGATAACATGTGCGTGAATTACCGGATATAGTCGACCGAAGTATTTCATTTTTATACCCTCCACCATACAATGGAGGGTATATTAATTTTGTCATTCCGTTTGTTACTCCTCGAAATATTCATGTCAGACCCAACAAAGTCCGTTTGTCTGTCTGTCCGTTTGTCTGTCTGTCTGTTCGTCTGTCTGTTGTAATCACGCTATCTTTCGAACAAATTGAGATAGAAGGCTAAAAATTTTCACACGTGTATATTTTGCCAGTAGGCAGGTTAAGTTCGTAAATGGGCCATGTAGGTCCAAGTTATCATATAGCCCCCATATAACGGTACCTCCTGATATTCGGTATTTTGATGATT